CGGTGTCGGTGGCCGCGTGTACTGTGCAGATGGAACCAAAAGAGTGGAATGAGATTTGGTCTCCGGGTGTTCATACTTGCGGTTCACAGTACGGGCCAACATCATTGCCGAATCAAGATCAACTGGATTCTGGTACTCAACCTCCAAGCGCAACGATTCACGTAATCCCGCTGTGAAGAGTTTATCTTGCATGCACACAGAGATGCCAACTGTGCGGGCAAGCAACTGTTGAAACAACTCAATATAAGTTTCGACATCATGTGTTTGGGTGAGTTTGGCAAGGTCCCCTTCAGGATTGGCACCACAAGGCGGTCCAAATCGTTCAGTACACTTAGTATAGAACTCGATCCAGGTGATGTCAGTAGCACTGGGATCAAGCTGATCAGCCCAGAGCTGGGCTGTCCCAGTCATGTGAAACGTTGCGAGACCCATACGGGCTTGCGCCGGTGTACGTTGGTGAACAAAGAAACTTTCACAACGTTTAAGCCATGACAAAGGGTCACTCTTACCGTCATATTGTGGAAAATCAAGCTTGGAAAAACGTGGAACCACCAAGTCATCATGATCCTGCCGTCGGTAGTCTCATTCGTGTTGTCGAGCAAAGCGGGGAGATACTGAGGAGGAATCTGCGGTCAGTTTCTGGACAGAGGCGGACAAGGCGGCCATCGCTGCCGGTAATTCTGCCAATTTAGCGACACACTCCTGCAGGTCGGCCAGCTGGTGTTCCACAGTCAGCTGGCGTTGGTCCATGCCCTCAATCATGTGTTTCAATGCCTCAGCTCCTGCTGCATCGTTGCCCATCGTCCCGGAATCTGATACCAAATTGTTAAGAACCTGCGTTAATGATCTCGTCCAGGGACGAGAGTGTTTCTGTAATTTAGAGGGAAGGTAATTGACTGGGAAGGAATCTATGACTTCTGAAGAATTGAAATCTTAAGCAGGAATTAAATTGATGTCCGACCTAGTCAAGACACACAAAATTAATTCTTCCAAAAGTTCCTTTATTGATAATAATAATAATGACCCTTATATAGAGGCTGATACAAGAGTCCTAAGGCAATTAATAATTAGGCAGTTGCCTAAAACTAAAATAGGAATACTAGAATAATTAGTCAGTTGCCTAAAACTGAAATAGGAATAATAGTATAAATAGGAAGTTGCCTAAAACTGAAATAGGAATAATAGTAATAACTAATTAATAGTTTTCTTTCAGCCACTTTGTTTCTCGATATAGTTGGGCCCACAGTCCGAGTATGAATCTGCAACGTTCTGGGCTCGTTCTTGGCCCTGTCGCCTGCTGTATTGTTTGCCCCAGAATGCATCCGTAACAGCATCCCATTGGAGAGTTATATTTCTCCTAATATCAGCATTGTGACCTACCAAAAGCATCCCTTTTTTGAGCAATTCTTCATCTTGCCAAAAGAATCTAGTGATGAGTACAAGGTGTTGGTGTTAATTAACATATCAAATTTGTAAGGATCATCTCTAATCAAATCAAACACAATAATTTAACATGTATAAGAGCCAATTTACTTACTTGAAGGAAATGCAGTCTTTGATGATGAAGAAGCCATGATTCCCGTTATAATGTCTTGTTAGTGATGGATAGATTTTTGGTTAGTTTTCTAGGGAAGCATAATAGTGTTATTTATAGCCCTAGGAACCTTTTTATTAAGAGACATGACTAGTCATTGCATCCCTTGTGTATGTGTATGAGGGAAGAGACACAATGAATAGATGTGTCCTTTCTTAAGTAATTAATTAATTAACTAATTAATTAATTATTTTATAGACATCTAACGGTAAATCAATTATCCCTTTAAATAATTACAATTACTCCCATCAAGTAATATTTAGATAAAGTAGGGAATTTATTCCGTCATATTGTCACAGTCACTACGAATAGCAACAATTAATTAATTAATATAAAATGGTCCTAAGGCCACACATAAATGGAAATTATTCCAACATTCTCCCACTTGGCTGAGTGACCATTTTATGATGAGTATTCATAATTTGGCCAATGTTAATACTCACCAAATTCTATGTTAAAATCATAATAAAAAGATACAGTCATTAAAGTTGTTATCAACAAAAGACCCCCATCAATTATACTAAAACTTCAACATAAAAGTACTTATAAACTTTCAAGCCATAATGACGAAAATACACAATACTAAAGTGTACATATTTGTCTATAGATCAATAATTGTATGCATACATTAATATAGACAATATATGTAAGATATTTGAGGAAATTATGATAATATGCTTTCATATAAGATCTCTAGTAAAACCCATCTTTGTTACGAGCTCTTGAAATACTTTGGGTGGTAGACCTTTTGTCATTGGATCTGCTAGCATATCATGAGTACTAATGTGCTCAACACAAAGATTATTTTCCTCTACTCGTTCACGTACGAACAAGAACTTTGTATCGAGATACAATCCAGCCCCACTCGAACTGTTGTTGTTTGAGAAACTAACGGCTGCAGAATTGTCACAATATATCTTCAATGGTCTCGATATGGAGTTCACGACTTTGAGTCCACTAATAAGGTTTCTCAATAACATCCCATGGCAAGTTGCATAATAAACTGCAACGTACTCCGCCATCATGGTTGAGGTTGTCGTTAGTTTTTGCTTATGACTTCTCCACGAGATAGGTCCGCCTGCTAACATAAAGATATACCTGAAGTAGATTTCTTATCGTCTTTGCATTTTGCAAAGTCCGAATCAGAAAATCCAATCACTTCTAAGTTATCGCTTCTTCTATAAGTTAGTTTGTAATCTTTTGTCCCTTGAAGATATCGCAACACTTTCTTTGCTGCTTTCCAATGATCTAGGCCGGGGTTATGTTGATAACGACCTAGCATTCCAGCAATATAAGCAATATCCGGACGAGTACAAACTTGAGCATACATTAAGCTTCCTACTACAGAAGCATAAGGTATCAAACTCATTTGTTCCCTTTCTACCTCCGTTTTCGGACATTGAAAAGAACCGAAAACATCTCCTTTAACTACAGGAGCAACTGAGGGAGAGCAATGTTGCATGTTATAGCGAGCAAGAATACGCTCAATGTAAGCCTTTTGAGACAGTCCTAACACACCATTGGCTCGATCTCGATGTATTTCAATGCCAATCACATAAGAGGCTTCCCCGAGATCTTTCATGTCAAAGTGGCGTGAAAGTAATCGCTTTGTCTCATGCAACAAATTCAAACTATTACTTGCCAAAAGGATGTCATCAACATAAAGGACAAGTATGGCAAAATTGCTCCCACTCACTTTAAGGTAGGTACATTGATCCACTTGATTCTTATTGAAACCATTCCTTTTAATGACTTCATCAAATTTCAAGTACCACTGTCTTGATGCTTGTTTTAACCAGTATATGGATTTCTTTAGTTTACATACTAGGTGTTCTTGACCCTTGAGCTTAAAACCTTCCGGTTGAGCCATGAACACATTTTCATGTATATCACCATTAAGGAAAGCCGTTTTAACGTCCATTTGATGTAATTCTAAATCAAAATGGGCTACTAAGGCCATAACGATCCTTAAGGAATCTTTTCGAGACACAGGAGAGAGTTTCTTGAAAATCAATCCCCTCCTTTTGAGTGTAACCTTTAGCAACCAAACGTGCTTTATATCTTTCGACGTTTCCATTTGGGTCTAACTTGGTTTTATAAACCCACTTGCATCCTACGGGTTTTACCCCTTTAGGTAGTTCAACAAGTTCCCATACGTCATTCTTTCTCATAGAATCAAGCTCATCAATCATAGCTTCATTCCATTGAGTGGATTGGTCACTACTAATGGCGTCATTATAAGATGTAGGATCATTATTTTTCCCTATATCCAAGTCAACTTCATTAAGATAGGTTATGTAATCATCAAAGTTAGTAGGTCTTCTAGACCTCGATGACCTTCTTAATGAAATTTCGAGTTCTTGAGGTGGTTCAGTGGTAAATTCAGGGATTTGTTCCTCTAAATTTGGAACACCTTCATTTATTGGCATATTAGGAGCAATATTTTCCTCGGGAGAGGCACTAGGTGGGCAAATGTCATTTACAATAGGTGCAATAGGATAAAGAGGTAATGAGGTTATTGGACCCTCCTCTTGCACTTCTTGTAAGTTGACAACATGATGTGTATTGCTCCCACTAATGTTAGAATTTTCTAGAAATTCGGCATGACGAGTTTCAACTATGCGAATGGAATGAGATGGGCAATAGAATCTATATCCCTTTGATCGTTCGGGATACCCTATAAAGAAACAACTGACTGTTTTCATGTCAAGCTTTCTTTGTTGAGGGTTGTATAGCTTAGCTTCGGCGGGACAGCCCCATACTTTCATATATCTCAAGCTCGGTTTTCTTCCCGTCCAAATTTCATAAGGTGTTTTAGGAACGGATTTAGAAGGAACTCTATTGAGTATATGGACTGCCGTTTTTAATGCCTCGGTCCATAAGAATTGAGGTAAGGTGGTGTTTGCTAACATACTTCTTACCATGTCCATGAGGGTCCTATTTCTTCTTTCAGCAACACCGTTTTGCTGAGGAGTACCCGGCATGGTAAATTGGTTCACGATCCCATGTTCTTTACAAAACTCAAAGAAAGAACTAGGAGCTTGACCAATATCAGTATGTCTACCATAATACTCACCCCCTCTATCTGATCTCACTACTTTTATCTTACGGTCGAGTTGATTTTCAACCTCGGCCTTAAAAGATTTAAATGTGTCAAGTGATTCAGATTTCTCTTTAATTAAATACAAATATATATAACGTGAGTGATCATCTATGAAAGTGATAAATGACTTATGTCCAGATATTCCGGCGGGAAAAGGTCCACAAATATCAGTATGTATAAGTTCTAATAAATTAGAACTCCTTGTGGCGCCTCTTTTATTTCCTTTTGCCATTTTGCCTTTAAGGCATTTCACACATGTCTCAAAATCATTGAAATCGAGAGTTGGTAAAACTCCATCTTTCACGAGTCTCAACATTCGGTCTCGTGATATATGACCTAAATGTTGATGCCATAACATAGACGAGGTTTCCAAATCTCGTTTTCTTTTATGTAAATTTTCACTTACATTATATGACAACAATGATTTTGAGAATTGGTCATCTAGGTCTAACTTATAAAGTTTTCCATCCAAATAACCATAACCAATAATGTCGGAATTTAAAGTAATAGTGACTTTATTATTACCAAATGTTACATAATATCCATTATTATCTAACTTATGTACAGATACTAGATTCCGAGTCATCCTCGGTACATAAAGAGTATCATATAAGTTAATACAATAGCCACCTTGCATAACTAATTGCAAAGTACCTACGGCTTCAACATTTAGATCATCACCATTGTCGACTTTAATGGTTCTTTGGTTTCTTTCCAGCCTCTGGATTGAATGGAATCCCTGTAATGAGTTTGTAACATGTACCATAGAACCAGAATCAACCCACCATGTGTTTGTGGGAACATTAATATTAAAGGACTCATAAATCATAAATAGATGATTACCTTTCTTTGCTAGCCACTCCTTGAATTTTGGACAATCTCGTTGGCCATGTCCTTTCTTATGACAGAATTTACAACGAAACAGGCCCTTAGGAGCGGTTGAGCCAGGAGTTGCATTTGCATTTGTTTTCTGAATCTTTGAACTTTCTCCAGTATTAAATTTGCCTTTCTTTTTCCCGGTGTTTGTGGTTGTGAGATGAGCAACATCGGGTTTTTCAATCTTTAAGCGCTCCTCCTCTTGCACGCACATGGCAATGAGTTCACTCATTTGCCATTTGTCCTTTTGAGTGTTGTAGTTTATTTTAAAAGGACCAAATTGTGCCGGAAGAGAGGTCATAATGAAGTGCACTAAAAAACCCTCACTAATTTCCATGTCCATGCCCTTAAGCTTGTGGGACATGTCACTCATCATCATGATGTGCTCACGCACACCACTCACACCATCGTACTTTGTAGTCAACATCTTCAGAATCAAAGTACTCGCATATGCCTTGGAGGTGCCTTTAAATTGTTCTTCAACGGAGTCCAAGTATGTTTTTGCATTTTCTGAATCCGGTATGGCTCCGCGAATAGCAACCGAGATGGAATTCTTTATAACCATGAGAGACATTCTATTTGACCTCTCCCACTGTTCATACACTCGTTTTTGTTCTTGTGAACTTTGGTCAGTGATTGCAGCGGGAGGATCATGCCTCAAAGCATAGTCTAAATCCATCATTCCAAGAGTTAATTTAACGGCATCTCGCCATGACGCGAAGTTAGTGCCGGTTAGAGGTTCAATCCCATAATTAGGACTTAAAGTGGATGCTGAATTGTAACAATTAGAACATAAATTTAGAAGAACATAAATGAATTAAACATATGGGGTAAATCACATAAAGTAAGCAACGAATAACATATTGAAGATTAAATCTATTATAACATCAAAAATAATAGACTAAACTAAGGTCCTACTTGAGTGTTGGATTTGCGTTGGCTATATCCAATACTCAAGTGCTTCGAACATTTTAATAAATAAATAAAAATACGCCACATGAATATCGTAAGTCACCTTTGGGTGAAAATTACAATAATCATGTTAATTCGGCTTGAAAATAATTTTATAATATGTGTAACTTAACGACTCGCCTTTGGGTTTGTCATTTTGCTACACATACATCAAAATATCATGATAACTTATTTAGACTTATATAATGTTTAATAATTTCCGTTGGGATAATTACTTGAATATGATATAAGCATCAAGTCATTAAGAATTATATGTGTGTAAATATTGACGATCGTAATCAACAAAAACAAACAAAACAAAGTTATATGCAATTCTAACAGATTCTACTCTGCATGTTCATACATTCTGGAAAATTCAAATATTTTTACTTTATCTTGATCAACCAAAGTGCAGAAAAATGGATTCATATTAAAATTGAATTTAAAATGAAGAATAAAGTATCATATATGAATCACATGCTTAGTTTTTTTTTTATTTTCAGTTTTGTGTTAAACAACCGAAACATCATACAAAACGGTTGAGTCAAACAAAAGTGAATTTTAGTTTTAAACACATCTGTAAACATAATCAAAACATAGTTTCATATTCTACCACCAAACGTCCGAGAGGCAAATAAACTCATTCCAATCAAAAATGATTGAATCATGTGTGAATTGTGTTACTGGCATGGCCGGTTAAGTGGTGTGGCAATTTAAAAATAAATTAATAATTTAGAATTGCATATGCCATTAGACGCAGCCGCACAGAACGAAGTATTAAACGGAAAGCAATCAGTTCAGAACCCAGCGTAAATAACATATTGGTTTGAATCGATTAAGAGGAAGGGCTCTGATACCAAATGTTGGTGTTAATTAACATATCAAATTTGTAAGGATCATCTCTAATCAAATCAAACACAATAATTTAACAAGTATAAGAGCCGATTTACTTACTTGAAGGAAATGCAGTCTTTGATGATGAAGAAGCCATGATTCACGTTATAATGTCTTGTTAGTGATGGATAGATTTTTGGTTAGTTTTCTAGGGAAGCATAATAGTGTTATTTATAGCCCTAGGAACCTTTTTATTAAGAGACATGACTAGTCATTGCATCCCTTGTGTATGTATATGAGGGAAGAGACACAATGAATAGATGTGTCCTTTCTTAAGTAATTAATTAATTAACTAATTAATTAATTGTTTTATAGACATCTAACGGTAAATCAATTATCCCTTTAAATAATTACAATTACTCCCATCAAGTAATATTTAGATAAAGTAGGGAATTTATTCCGTCATATTGGCACAGTCACTACGAATAGCAACAATTAATTAATTAATATAAAATGGTCCTAAGGCCATACATAAATGGAAATTATTCCAACACAAGGAACCCTCTAAGTCCCAAAATATTCTTAGTGGTAGGCCACTCTACCATTGCTTGTACTTTGTTAGGATTAGTGAATATTCTTTGTCCTGATAATATATGCCCTAAATACTCCACACTTCTGACACCATAAGAGCATTTGCTTCTCTTGGCAAATGTACATTCTTCCTCAGTAAATTTAATGCTTGTTGCAGATGCACTTCATGTGTTTTTCATATCAAGGCTGCATACTAAGATATCATCAAAGAATACCATATTTTTTTCTGAAACAGGGTTTGAAAATAGTGTTCATGGGTCTTTGGAATGTAGAAGGTGCATTTGTGAGACCAAAGGACATCACCACAAACTCATAGTGCCACTAATGAGCTCTAAATGCAGTTTTTCCAATGTCTTTTTCACGCAGTCTAATAACTTGTCAAAAATAGGTATAGGTACTTTATCTTAAATTTTTGTTTGTTTAGCTATCTGCTATCATCAGCACCCAAAAAAACCCAACAGTTTTTCTTTTTTATCATCACCACTGGAGAAGAATAAAGACTTCCACTATTCTTTATGATATACCATTGTCCAGCATTTCTTTAGGCTTCTCAGTGGCTTTCTTTTGAAAACAGGGTATCTAAATTCTAAAGGGTGTTACATTGATAGGTGCGGTCCTTGTTTGAGGTGTATATGATGATCATACTGGTTATGTGAGGAGGCAGTTGCTTAGATTCTTCATAAATATCAGAAAACCCAGCTAAAACTAAAGAAATATCGAAGCAGATCCTTTCGAGGTAGGATGTATTTAAATGAAAAATGAGGATTCTTTTGAAACAATCAGCGAATTTAGCAATTTTCAATTATATACTATTATACAATTTTTATGTTCTTTGGTTTTAATGTGGAGCCTCAATATAGCATTTACAGCAAAGCCTCTTGAATATTTTAAGACGGCCGTGAGATTAATTTTCTTTTCCCTATCTATTCCATGATCCAAATTCCTAACATGCCCACTAGCTTGGAGAAACACGAGTTGAAAGCTGTGTTTTCAATTTTGACCAAGGTCTAGTGAAACACCAGTTGATCTTTTACCTGGAATCTATGAGATCAAGGAACCTCCCCTGTTTTCTTGAAAAGAGAACTAATAGGATGGACTCTAAAAAGTCTTGTTACTCGATCTACTTAACTAGTAACTAACAAATGTGTATATTTAAATCTTTTTTTGACAATATGTGGACTGTAATTTTATCATCTTCATTAGCATTTAAAATGTTGAATGCTATTTAAAAAGTGGTCATATTGAATATTATCAGATACTTTTTACTGCAATTATCTTCGTTGGAGGATCACTACTATGGCCTTTGTTCCCTTTCATCTCTTATATTAGGATAAGAGTGTTGTAAACTTTCTGGAGGGATGACTACCTAAGTGCGAGGTTATGCATCTTGGGTATGCATGGACTCGGGCCGGGCCTCCGGTTTGTGAATAGTGGGCCCGGGACCGGCCCGAGGTACTGGCGGTTCCGGTTCGGGCCGGGCCACCTGCCCGGGTCACGGGTCGGGACACCCGCCGGGCCGGGTCAGGCCTAGGCAAACCCAATATTTTTTTTTACTTATTTGTACTTTATAGTTTTATACAAGTATTAAAAACAAACTTCAAGTACATTTATTTGAAATGAAATAGGAACTACATTTGACAATTGAGAAAAAAAATACAATATGAAATACATTTTGTAATCAATAGGAACTTCCCGGAACTCCCGGTCCTTTAGCTTTGTCACATGACTTAATATGCTTCCTTGTCATCCGTATCCGCGTGAAACCTCCATGCTACACTTTTTCCCGCATCATTTGCAAGTTGCGTACCACATCCCGATCCTCGGGTGCTTCTGAGTATCAAAATTATACCGTATAACGGCATATTGACTTTTCATCTTAAAAATGGTAGATATAATAATTCTACAAATACTTGAATAGATGGAGATGAAGATGGAGAATGGAGATTGGAGATTGGAGAAGATGTGTATAAAAATGTTAGAAAATAGGAGTATTTATAGAAATTTTTATACCCCCACCACCCTCCCACCCCCCAAAGTTCCCGGACCCCCCTCCCCCCGCCATCCCACCCAACGGCTATATAGCCGTTTGGGTAGTCCGCAGCCCACCCCAACGGCTCTCTATTGGCCCAATCATTTTTTTTTAAAAATGTAGCCGTTGTGACCCGGACCCGGGCCCGACCCGGCCGGGCCGGGCCGGGCCGGGTCACCTTTTGCCGGAACCGAGCCCGCCCCTGCTTCCCCCACTGGTTCGGGTCTACACCCGGTCCCGGACCGCCAGACCGGGCCGGGTCATGGGCCGGGCCGGGTCACGGGCCGGGTGGCCTGAACCGAATCCACCCCTAATCTTGTGTAAATTGCTCCTATACTAGCAGCATTTGCAATTCCTTCCTGGTATTGCAACATACTATTATTTTAATGTGCAATGAACTTTTACTTTCCCATTTGTTACTGGCTTCTAAAAACAACTTTTGGTAGTTTTGGAGCATCGGCATCAAGGTTTTTATTGTTTATTTATTTGTCTGTTTGTTTGTTTCCTAACTTTTCTTAGTTTTATTTTACACGTATCTCTGTTATTCGTTATTTGTCCATGTGAGGTTTTCACGGAGATCAAAACTTTAAGAGTGAAATAAAAGGGGTAAGGGGTATTGTGAAAGAAGTTGGATAATGACGATGAAAAATATTAAAGAGAAGATGAAAAGAAGAAAAAATTCAAAAGAGAGGATAAGAAGATGAGGCAAACTTTGTCAAGAATATCACTGGAACAAATATTAAAAGACTTTAAAAAAACAAATCTATAATAGATAATTAAAAAACAATGAGCCTATATGTTAATTTGCACTTCTTCAGCCTCAGCTTTAACAAAGTTTAGAATAAGGAGGAATTGAGATTGAAAAGCTTGATTCATTCCATGAAATGATATCCTACTTATACAACATTTTAGAGCTAGGCTACTAATTATAATATTAAATACAAAGATTTGTAACTGAAATATTAAATAGAAATATTCTAATTTATTTTGTAACTCATGTAACTGATCTCTAGAGCTGTCTAGACTCTTCTGTCTATATGCCCCCGCAAGCCAGGTATTCTATCAGTGCTGAGAATCCTGAGCTTGTCACGTAGAAAAACAAACCGTTGTCGTGAAAGGGGTTTGGTGAGAATGTCAGCTAGTTGATCATGCGAGGGGATATGAAGAACCTGAAGAAGGCCACGTTGCACACGTTGACGAACAAAATGGAAATCAATGGCAACATGTTTCATTCGGGAATGGAATACCGGATTGGCAGAAGAGGTGGTAGCGCCTTTATTATCACATAAAAGAACTGGAGGAGAAGAAGGGGAATGTCGAAGCTCATGAAGAAGTGACTCAATCCAAAGAGTTTCAGATGCAGCAGTGGATAGGGCCCGATACTCTGCTTCGGTTGAGGATTTGGCAATTGTGCGTTGCTTGGAGGACTTCCATGAAATAAGCGATTCTCCGAGAAAAATGGCATAAGCACTGGTAGAGGATCAGTCATCTGGATTTCCCGCCCAGTCTGCATCAGCATAAGCACACAATGAAAGGTGAGAACTCCGACGGAGATATAAACCATGAGAGGCTGTTCCGTGAAGATACCGCAAGAGACGTTTCATGAGCTGCCAATGGTTCACCGTGGGTTTGTGCATAAACTGGGCTAGCTTGTTGATCGCAAAGGCCGTATCAGGTCGGGTGAGGCTTAAATACTGAAGTGATCCAATAACTTGACGATAGAGAGTGGCATCACAAGAACCTGAGCTATCAAACAGAGTCAAGGAAGCTGAGGAAGCTAAAGGCGTGGATACTGGATTCGCCTCGTGCATGTTCAACACATGTAATAAATCTGTAATGTACTTGTGTTGATCAAGAAAGAGTCCATCTGATGTAGGGGTAACCTGTATGCCCAAAAAGTAATGCAATGACCCCAAATCCTTAATGGAGAATTTTTGTGCTAACAAGTTAATAGTCCGATGAATCAAGTCTGGTGTAGAGCCCGTAACAATAATATCATCCACATATACCAACACATAGATATAAGAGGGATGAGAAGAAAATATGAAGAGGCTGGCATCAGAGACTGATTGATGAAAACCAAGGGATAATAGAAATCCACTAAGAGATTGGTACCATACTCGAGGTGCTTGTTTGAGACCATAGATGGATTTCCTAAGACGACACACTCTTCCAGAGCCATTATTGAAACCAGGGGGTTGTTTCATGTAAACCTCCTCTTGAAGAGCACCATGTAGAAAAGCATTGTTGACATCTAGTTGGTTTATGTGCCAGCCATGAGAAAGTGCAATGGTCAGAACAACCCGAATAGTAACTGGTTTGATGACTGGGCTAAAGGTCTCAGAGTAATCAATCCCCGGGCGCTGATGAAAGCCTTTAGCCACCAATCGAGCTTTGAAACGATCCAAGGAACCATCGGGCTTATATTTCACAGTATAAACCCATTTGCAGCCAATAATGTTCTGACCAGGATGAGCGGGTACAAGTTCCCATGTCCCTTGTTGAACCAAAGCATCAAATTCCACAGACATAGCCTTCCTCCATTCAGGTACCTGTAAAGCTTGAGAAGCACAATTAGGAATACTATGATGAGGTAATGGTGAGTGTGTGACAACATTAGCTTGTTTACGAGAACGAAGGGTCATTGAGCGGGTACGTTTGGGTGGAGAGGCTTTT